AGTGGCCCAAACAGGCGTCTTTGCCTGTTCTGGCCACCGCCTGTCCCGACGCATCTGGGGTGTTGCTGCCCCTCCCACCATGATACCGCCCCTCCTGCCACATCAACACCCCTCCTGCGGGCCCTGTGGGACATGGAGGGGGGACCTGTGCAGCCTGTTATGCCCTGGACCATGGGGGCTTGGCAGCACAGGCTGCTTTCCCCTGGGCCACGGGGGCTCCGCAAAACCGGAAGTGCCACAGTAGGTACTTTCAGTTTCACTTTTCCCTTACAACCCCATACAAGTCGGGATGCTGGTTAACAGATCATGCCAGCTTGTAAGGTGCCGGTTAACACAACATTTGCTGTGTAATCATACCTTGTGCTGTGTTAGATCTACTGCAGATATATACTGGTGGGTATGGCAGTTGGTAGCTCCACAAGCTTTTCAAGAAAATGTGAGAAGCAGTTGTAGGTAGCTGTGAAATAGCTTTCTCATTGAGATTCCTTCCACTATGAGTTGGAGGTTGCTTCATGCAGTGAAGTATAAGGGTTTATTATATCTCTTTAAGTAATTTCATGCAGTCCTTACCATATGTTCTTACCGTCTATACAAAAATGCAGTCAGTTTTGAAACCTGGTTTCCATGACATTCTGTGATACTGGCAGGAAGCAATACTGTCTTTTTTCATTAGTCCTCAGCCCTGTTTGAAATGTGTGTGAAGGCAGTACAATTTCCTTTGTGATTCAGCCCTTCTGCTTAGGCTGGCAGCAAGCATATTGAGTAGAACTTAACTGTCCCAATGTGTTTGGTGAAGTGAACATTTTTTTTTTTTTTACTGGGAACTTAGCAAGGACTACCACACCATCTCATATACTACCAATATGTCTTCAGAAGGTAATGATTGTACCACTGTCAACTCAGAAAAGATTTGAACTGGTGTCCTAGAGATAAAAGCCCTATGGCCTATTACTGTCACTCTTCAAATATGCTTTTAAAATATTCTGTGAAATAGAGCCTTTGATGCCTCATAAAACATCTCTGTGCATTTCTGATGCTAGGCTGCCTTGGGCTGAACTGCCCTCATTCATGGCCCTTTTCTTCTCCAATGAAGCTTAGATACTTTGTCTAAGTTATAGCAGTCTCTCATGACTCCAAACTGACTGCACCGTTGCCTGGAATCTCCACAATACTATATGCTGCAGCCACACCCCACCATATCATGCTCTTAATGCATTCTCTGTACCAGGATTGATGGAGAGGTGTGATTCTGCTGATGGCAAATTAAGAGTTTTGTTTCACAGAGCCTACCTTGAGGGAATCTTCCCTTTTCTGTGCAACATGTACAATACCCAGTAACAGTGGCAAAATATCAAAAGCTTATTAAGATTCTCTGTGGGAAGAAAAATTTGCAGGTTCGGCAGGGACAAATGATTTAAATGGAAAGAGTAATCTTTGCCATGGCATACAGAGATCTGCAGGCTCTGTAATAAAATAATAAAATTATTAATAATAATATGATTGTTACTGATGGTAAGTTATTGAAGGTAAAAATTATGGTTTATACTTTTTGTCACTGACCAAATATAATAAATTATTGCACCAAAATTTTAAATAAACTTCCAGTGAAATATCCAGATTTCATGTTGAACAAACAACAACAACAACAAAAGATTCTTCAGTTTTTGAATGTTTCATAAAGTAATTAGTGTTTTGAACAAATAACTCCCTGAGATCCAAATTTTAGTCTAAAAGTATTCAGAAATCTAAGTAAGAAATTTAGTACTCCTGGCAGCTTGAATTCAGATGATGTATAGATCTATCTGCATGTAAATGTTAAAAATAGTTTTGAGTTATGTAATTAGGACCATCAGTTCCTCCAGAAAACTGTGTTCTTTGTTTAGTGGATATGATGGGTTTCTGCTGAGTACTTTGAAATTCTACTGTTTAGGTTGACTAGAAATATCCACCAATCTTTTTTTTAATTTTTTTTCTCCAGAACATTACCAGCTGTATGTTCCTGAATCAGCTCAAGTTGGATCAGCAGTAGGCAAAATCAAGGCAAATGATGCAGACACTGGATCGAATGCAGACATGAAGTACACCATCATAAATGGTGATGGCTCTGGCGTGTTCTCCATATCCACTGACAGAGAGACACGAGAAGGAATTATTTCCCTGAAGAAGGTAAGCAAAAGTCTTCGGAAGTGTCCCAGTGGATATAATTAACATGCTTTTTTTTATGAAAGCTGTAAAACAAGCAGATGCCACAATGGAAATGTGTGTTGTAATCTGTAAACCTAATGGAGCAAAAACTGCAGCAACATGACCTTCCCCACTAGAACCTTTAAATGTTTGTGAGTATTGGAACAGGAAAAGGAGTCAGGGAACAAACTATCCAAAAACAATAATTACTTAAATCTTCTGTATTTCTAAAATGTTTATCATTCAATGTTAATTAATATCCAAGTACATCAAATTTAGATGAAACCAGATATAATTCTTTTTTCCCATTTATATTATACGTAATATAAAACACTAAATACAGCAGGAAGCAGCACAGTTGTTCCAATATTACCCAGAAAATTTGACAGTCACAATGCAAAATTAATTTTAGGGTGATTCATAACCATATTTTATGTAAATGATCTTATGTCACAGAGTTCATCTCAAGCCCATATTCAGTAGATCCCCTGAAATGAATTCTAAGGAAATATCTCACAAGATGTCTGGAACCCCTTATAATATATCACTGGATTAGTATTTTTTGCTGTTATTAAAAAATGAAAATAACTCTTTGGCTATTCTAATGTATTAATTAATTTTTCAAAACCTAACCAACAATATGAAAATATTGCTAGATTTAAGTCTTCACATAGACTAACACGCATCAATTAGTAGTTCTCATGTGGGTTTGTTTAGTATTAAATCTTGTGGGTATAGATTGTACTGCACAAACTAAAAGTGAAGAGTGAATTTAAAATCAGTATTCTGTTAATGTGTATGCACAACTTGAATAAAGGCAGAAGGAATGAAATAAGAATATTTAAAACATATGAAGGCAGTAGATGAGAAGATTTAAATCAAACTTCTTGAAAGAAAGTATTGGGTTGGAAAAGAGATGTAAGTTAAAATGAAATTTTATAACTAAGAAAATGTAATTATGTATAGGCTTTTAAAAATGTCACATTGCGCACTGTATGGCCTGCTGGCTGTGCGGGGTTGCAGGCTCGAGCTGCCGATTGCAGCTCCCAAAGCCTGGACTCTGTGCACCAAACTGTGCACCATGATGGGCCTGAGGAGTCTCACACCACTCCCAAGGCCAGGTCTCTGTGCATCATCCCTGTGCACCGTCAACAGCCCAAGCGGTCTTGCACCACTGCCAAAGCTGCTCCTCCAGTGGCAGCTTCAGGAACCTTGGGCCTTGCCTGCTGAGGGAGAGCTCCCCAGCTTTTCTTGGCTCCACTTCTCTTCAGTCCCTTGCTGCATCTGCCCCTTGTGCTAGGCACACAGCTCATAGTTTCATAGTTTCTAGGGTCGGAAGGGACCTG